CCGGCTCGCCCGGAAAGTCCGTACCATACCACTGCCGCCTCTGTGTACACTGCCCTGTCTCTCTGAAAATTGCCAAAGTCCTGGGACAGGTTCCTTGCATGCTGCAGAATACCACCGGCTGGGGGAAATGCCCACCGGCCGTGTATGATTTCCATCGGCTGCTGTTAGAGTTATCGGCCATTCAACTGTGACCGGTCGGCATTAAATACCGACGGTCGGCAGAAACTTCCTGCAGAAGACAGTTTTGAATGCAACAGAGGACAGACAGTATATGGCATGGGATTTCAGGCACATGTGAGCATGGTCATGTTTCCCATCATGTGTTGAGCTCAGGGAAACATGGCCCTCGATCCTCGAGCCATCAATGGTGCATGATAGCCTAAGTGATCAAGCTTGCCATTTGATGTAAAGATGCATGCAACACACAAATGAGAACCAAGACCCTATCATGTCCAAGTCAAGGGCCCCGGTGACCGAGAATTAAGACGCGTTACGTCACTTATAGTATGAATGCTCCTTAACTCTCACAATTGGTTTGACACCCCCAAACCAAGTAATGCAATGCATGTTATGCAAACATGACTAAAAAATGCAACATGAGATTTAAGATGCAAGGCATGCCAAATGCTATGGTATGCAATGCTAGGCATGCAAGATGCAAATGCAATGCAAACATAGATGGTTTAAGCAATAGGATCATCATGTTACAACACCCTATGAAGAAATCATGCAACAAACATGAGACAAGCATGCAAGGGTGGCCTTAAACCATAAAGGGGCAGACCTCAATCCACCTCGAAACAGTGGCCAAAAGTGCCCAAAAGGGCGGACAAATACTCATGCCAACAAGCAAGCCAATGGTCCTAAGGTTAAGGCACAAAAGGGGGCACTTTACTTCCACCAACATGACCACTCATGGCATAAATTAGACAAGCAAAAACAGAAACTTAGCATGCAAAAATGGACTCCAAAACCCACTAACATGGTAGCTTAAGTGGCTCCGATGAGATGCATGCACCAAGACTCATGTTTAGGCATAAAAGGGCGCATCTTCAAAGCATGAAAGAGGTCACATATGCAAACATACAAACAGGATTTATGGGCTGAAATATGATCCTAAAAGATGCCAAATCATGAGGATGGTCATAGCTACGCATGCTAGAGGTCAATATGCTCAAAGCTTACAAGCCAAAACACAAAGAGATGACACCAAACAAGGCAAGCATGACTGAAACAGATGGCCAACAGACCTTAAACATGGTAAAATAATGCCAACACCTTCATGGAATTAAGCTAACACATGCAAGAATCATGGCCTAAACACAAGATGCATTTCTAGGCCAAATAGGGGAATGCAAAGCAAGTATGTTAAGCATGCAAAAGGCCACAAATACGACCAAAAACAGAGGTTACATGTGACCTAAAAACACCAAAAAAAAGTCTGAAATAGGGCCAAAATTAGTCAAGCATGCATGTTGCCCTTTTAAGCCAAAAGGCAAGGAAATAAGGCAATGAAGGGAGAGGGGTGTCCCTCCCCTATACAAGACTTCAAACCACCTTCCTCACCACTAAAAATCCACTGGTTTTCAGTGGTGAGAAGATCAAAACACTCAAGCAAACAAGGCCTCACCAAGGAAGCAACAAAAAGGCCAAATAAGGCCTAAGAGGGTGAGTTTGGACTCAAACCACAAAAGACCCTTAATGAAAGTTCTTAAGCATGAAAATATAAGCCTTTTTTATGTTATGCACAAAAACTAAATCAGCAAGCAAGATAGGTAAAAGACTAGTGCAAGTTTGGGGAAACTAAAGCAAAGTGCTTACCCTTGAAGCACACCTCAAGAACAACCAATGCAGCCCTCTTCTTTTGATCAAAAATAGTCCAAAAACTCAAGAATCAACCCTCAAAGTCCCTCAATCTCGGAACAAGGTGTAATAGTGTGTGTATTAGTGCAAAAGTAAGGTAAAAGTACACTTTTAGGCCATGAAACACACACTAGGGAGGAGAGAGGGAAATATAGAGAGAGGGTGTATCTATATGTATAAGCTCTGGTTTTTGCCTTCAAACTTTCTAACCAAGAACAAGGAGAAGAGCTCTCCTCTTATAGAAGTCCCTCTTGCAAAGCTTACACAACAAGCTTGCTTAGAGGGAAATCCCTCCATACACGTGTATGGAGGGGAACAGAGTGGGTGCCAGCTATCACAGCTGGCACAAAATATCTACATAAAGTAGATGAACAGTAGTCGGCTCCTCAAAAATGCCATTTTGACAAAAGGGAGTGCCGACCGGCAACAAAGATTCGCGATGGCAACAAAACACTAGCCGGTGGCCTCTGGCCATGGCCGGTGATGTGTGGGGATGCCTCACAAGGCATTCCCTGCCCCTCCAAGGCAAAACACAAGTGTTTGGTGCAAAACCAGACACGGAACAGTCGAGTTCGGAGATCCTAAGGCAAGGCGCGTAGCCGAGACCTCCGGGAACTCCAAACGAACACAAACAAGGGTAATCACCGAGTGTTCCAATGGTGACGTCCAAGTCTTGGGACGTCAAAAATGGGGTGTTCTACCACTATCATAACTATGTCCACTACTAACTTCCATGGAACCTGTGTACGTTTGTTATTAATGTGCAATGGTTATATGCTCTCTAATTTAGCATCCTATGTCTCTGTTTGTTGTTATTAATGTGTAATGGCTTATGCGTTTGTATATAACAACCGAATTTGTGATGGTAATCTTTTGTAACCGTACATTAGTAATGGCTTCCATACGTACTTCTTTGCATACCCAATCCAAAAGCAAAGACACTGTTACTGACAAGTCAAGTAGTCTTGAATAGACACATAATCAGTTCAGCCACAAGGCCTCATGGGACAGTGACTCAATCCGAGTTTTCCTGCAGTTGATTGCAAATGAGATTACAAAAGGAAATCGCCCATTCCTAGTCCTCAGCCAAGCAGGGTATAAGTCCTTGGCAAGGAAATTTGCGAAAAAAAACAGGAAGAAAACATGGACTGAAACAGTTGAAGAATAAATACATGAGTTTGAAAAAAGAGTGGCAAGCGTGGACAAAGTTGATGGATTCAAGCAAAGGGGTGTCAGGGATAGGGTTTGACTGTGACACCGGTATGTTTCAGGCACCTAGGGAGTGGTGGGACAAGATGGAATCGGTAAGTACATGTACAAACAAGTTTCATATTTGTCATTTACCAGTACATTTTTAACCTTTTTAGTTAACTTTTAATTAATTATATGAAATGTCACGTCTTTCTCATTCATATATCTCTATTTCTGCAGATAAACAAGGTGTGTGCCAAGTTCAGGAAAAAAACCTTGGAACATCGTGAGTTAATGGAGACGTTCATGGGGGCATCAACTACTGGTCAGCACCATTGGACCCCGGGAGAGAAACTTCATGAAGCTGCTAATGACTCATCTGATTCAGTGCATAGTTTAGGAGCCCAGCCATTTGCTGATCCGAGACCCGTAGGAGTACAAGACGTGGATTCAGATTCTTCACTAGAGCATGTTCCGATTGAAAAAGGGAAAAGGAGAAAGACACCATCAACAAGTGTTTCAAAGTCGAAGAAGGCAACAAGTGGAGCGTCAGTTATTGCGAAAAACATGAATAATCTGACAGATGTTGTGCGTATGAAGAATCAGCAGGTCACAGTGAGGCACCTCACAGACATGCATTGCCTGACGAGTATTCCATCCCTGATTGGAACGCCGTTAGTCCATTTTGCCTCGACACTTATGGGTAACGCCGATTACTGGGAGGTGATGATGTGCCAGCCTGATGACGATCACATCATAGGGTGGCTTACACAAAAGCAGCTCCAGTGTATTGCGTCGGCGCCTTTTGCAAACCTGTTTGGGGCTTGCCGGATGTGATGTAGCGGTGTTACGATTGTTGAAGATGCTTGTCCTTCTCTTGCTTTTGAAAACTTTGACTTATGTTATTGTTGGCACTATATTAAAACAAGATGGTTGTGTGTGCGTGTTTTTATTCCTTCGTTTTTGTTTTTTTCTTGCTAGCTATGGTGAACAAAACTTTTAGTTAACTTTGTCGTAGACGGAATGGAATCATGGTTGTGCATGTTTTTTGGGAAAGGAATGGGATGCTTCTGTTTTAATTAAATGAATGGCTATTTTTTTGACAGGCAATGACAGTTTTCTTGCTAGCTTTTTGTATGCCTATATTTTGCAAATTTAACTGTTAGTTTAGTTGGACGTCACATTTTGTGGTTGTTACCACCATGGTCCCCCTGTAAAACCATAATGACCAGGTTTACAATTTGTTCAAATCATATCATTATGCGTTAGTAATGACATTGGTGACGGCATTACTTATATTAAAAACAATGTCGGCATTCTTTAATTGCAAACTTCAATATAATTTGAGTCAATGAATCACGTGCAAACTGATTGAAACAGTGCCACTCTTGTAGGTTTCGCATCAAAGAAGACGTGATGAATCCCTGGGATGGAAGCAACAATGATGATTTAAGGGAAATGCTTAATCAAATGGCGGTCCAGGTGCAACAAGAACACAACTGCACATTTCTACAAGCATGCTAGTATGCGACATAATGGTACGAAAAACACATGGCTAAAACGCCATGTCGCACTTCGATATTGACGGGGCATGCATGGATATACGAACTATATGCGGGCCATATGGGTTGATTTGAGGAAAATGTTTGCATGCCGAAGGAAGTTTTTGCCACTTTGCGTGAGACATTAGTAAATGATTTGGGGTTATAAGTACTGCAACGTCCACATGGCTTAGCTGTTGAAGAAAGCGTTGCAATGTTTCTCCACGTGTTGCAAGGGATGCAAAATCGGCAAATCCAAGAACGTTTCCAACATTCAAGGGAGACTGTGTCTCGGCACGTGTATAACGTATTAACTTCTATGAAAGAGTTCACTGTTGTTCATTGTCGGCCCACATACAGTCAGCATCATATACATCCATACGTGCGGTCTAGACGAAAATACCTACCGTTCAAGGTAAAGATGAAAACATTATTGACATATAGGTGGGACAAGTGCAGTTATTTTGTTTTAATTATTAACTGGACGTGACGTGATGAAAAAAACCATTACTTGTTACCCGTTTAATTAAAAAAATCATTTATGTATTACAGGACTGTATTGGAGCAATAGACGGAACACATGTAAGTGCATGGGTTACAGGGCCAGAGGCGGCAACATATTTCGGTAGGAAATACTATCACATGCAAAATATCATGGCCGCAGTCGATTTTGACATGTGTTTCATCTTCATTTCGTGCAGATGGGAAGGAAGTATGCATGATAGTCGCATCTTCAACGAGATACTTACAAATGACAATGTTCCATTTCCACATTCTGACGAAGGTAACACAGTGCCATGAATTCTGCATTAGCGGGCCATCCTAATTTTTCGTCATACAGCGTTACTTGAAAACTTCATCCAATGTTTGTTTTTCTGTGTCATACATTGTTGTCCTATCTGCAGGCAAATATTATCTTGTCGATTCTGGCTATCCAAACTGGATAGGTTACTTAGCACCATTCAGAGGCAGCCGTTAGCACCAACAAGAATTCCGACGTATTCAACGGAACAGGACGGCAAACACGCCAAGGGAATTATTTAACAAAGTTCACTCGTCGTTACGCAGTGTGGTGGAACGCACTTTCGGTGCCTGGAAAAATCGATGGGGGTTTATTCGAGACATGCCTCGGTATGACTTTGCGAATGTGCAAGTTCAGTTAGTAGGTACGTCAATGGCATTACATAATTATATACAGCGAAACACAGGTAATCCAACAACTGTTCACCCAATTTGTGACGAGGAAGAGGCTATGACAATAGTTAATGCCACACCAAAAGTTAAACATGACGAGGATGGTTTAATGGTTGGGGATGACGACCTGCATATGGCATTGGTGCGCCTTCACATACGTGACAAGTTATGTTACATGCGTAATAACGGAACGTTAGGAAATATTTAATAGTCGACCTAATTTTCGTAGGGTTGTAACATTGGTAACACACGTGGAATAGACTGTATTGGCAGATAATTACCATATGTGTTTACACAGGAATATACCCCCTTTCAGTTGGGGACGTGCCTAACTTTGAAAACAGACAAAGAGAAAGTAGCATTTGCCACGTAATTTACAAATAAATAAAACACATGAAACCCAAGTTTTGAAATATAATTGCAAATTAATGTACGCACAGACAAATTTGACAGAATCGTAAATTTTAAAAAAAAAAAGAACGACAAAAATACGGCTCATCCAAAAAATAAAAATAAAAAAATTTAAAAACAGAAATGAGCATTTGCCACGTAATTTACAAATACATAAAACACATGATACCCCATTTTTGAAATATAAATAGAAATTAATGTATACAAATAAATAAAAAAATTACAAAAACGTAAATTAAAGAAAAAGAACGACAAAAATACGCCTCATCGGAAAAAAAAAGAAAAAAAAACCAAAAAATCGAAATTAGCATTTGCCACGTAATTTACAAAGAAATAAAACACATGAAAACCCTTTTTTGAAATATATAAACAAATTAATGTGTACAAATAAAAAAATGACAAAAACGTAAATTAAAAAAAATGACAAAAATACGCCTCATTCAAAAACATTTAAAAAAAACATAAAAACATAAATTACCATTCGCCACGTAATTTACAAATAAATAAAACACATGAAAACTCATTTTTTAAAAATAAAAAAAATTATTGTATATCAATAAAAATAAATAAGGCAAAAAACGTACATTAAAGAAGAAGAACTAATTATAAAAAAAGAAAAATGACAAAAACATAATTTCTAAAAAAAAAAACCATGCAAATACGCCAAATCCAAACCCCCCCCCCCAAAAAAAACAAAAAAAAAAATCCAAACAAACAAACAAAAAACAAAAAACAAAGCTGAAGCAAACAGAGGCTGACGTGGAGGAGTTGATTTCAGTTGGTGACATGTAATGATATATGAAGGGCAGTTTGGTAATTTAATAGGAAGACACCTCACAAAAAAGCCAAAAAGTCAAAAAAGCCAAAAAATCCTTCCCAAATCAGGCTTTTTAGCCTTAGGCTAAAATAACCAAAAAAAGCCAAAAAGTCAATCCACTTCCCAAACGGAGGCTAATTGAATTTTAGTTGTCGAAACTAGGATTTTGGGCGACTAAAATTAAATTTAATTCCTAAAATTATTAATCTGCAGTTAATAAAAGTAATTTAGTCTATATTTCTCTTATTTTTAGCGACTAACATTTAGACGACAATTGTAATGAAATTTTTATAGGTAAGATTTTAAAATTTGGAGGGATTCCTAAAAGAATTAGTGACTAAATTTTGAGTTTGTCAGGAATGGAATGATAATCCATTGATTAAACAAGCCCACGATTCTGTTTCTCTTTTCTCTCACGCCTCACACTTTTGTGTGAGGCTTTTCCCATATTAAGCCAATTTATCATCTTAATTCCCAAACTAGGCCTAGTTTGGACAGAATTTCCAAACTAGGCTAAAGCGCTATTACAAATCACGCTTTCACTGTTTGGGGCCGAAAATTTGATAAATAGTGAAAGCGCTATTAGAAACCACGCTTTTAATTAAGAAAGCGTGGTTCCAAACCACGCTTTTAACATAACTTTTTTTCCTGAAGAAAACGTGGTTCCAAACCACGCTTTCACTGTGCATGTTGTGTAATTTGTTTTCTGAAGAAAGCGTGGTCACGCTTTCACTGTGCATATTCATTTTGTGAAGAAAACGTGATTCACAATCACGCTTTCACTGTGCATTGTTTTTTCTTAAGAAAACGTGATTTGAAATCACGCTTTCACCGTTGGTAAATGAAACCGTGGATTGAAACCACGCTTTTACAACTTATATAAAAAACCCAAGCCTCCTCATTTGCAATCGCGTTTTATACACTTAAACTTTTTTGACTCTGGCTCTCCCTCTCCTTCTGCTCACAAACTACTCTCGCTCTCCCTCTACTCTCACTCTCCCTCTGCTCTCACACACTCACTCACTGTCGCTCTCGCTCTCCCTCTACTCTCAGACTCTCACTCACTGTCGCTCTTGCTCTCCCTCTGCTCCCAGACTCTCTCTGCTCTCACTCTTTGTCTGTGCTCTCTCTCTGTCCGTGGTATGCCAGCTATCTCTCTCTGTCTCATTTGAATTTTATGTATTTCTTGTGTTTGTGAAAATGTGAATGTGTGGTTTAAAATGTGAGTGTGTGTTTGTGAAAATGTGAATGTTAGGGTTTTAAATGTCAATTATTAAATGTGTTAGGGTTTTGAATTAGGGTTTTAAATGTGTGGTGATGAAATTATGAAATCATAAAATGTTAGGGTTTTGAATTGTGAAATCAAAAATTATGCTTGTGGTTTCAGAAATTAGGGTTTGGAATTTTTTGAAATCAAAAATTAGGGTTTGGAATTTTGTGAAATCAAAAATCAGTGTTTGGAATTAGGGTTTGGAATTTTGCTTGTGAATCAGAAATCAGAAATTATGCTTGTGAATCCTGTCTATATTTTTTGAAATTAGGGTTTGGAATTTTGAATTGTGAATAAACCAACCTATATTTGTTGAATTGGAAATTTTATTTTTTGCTTGTTAAGAGGAATTAAAAGGAAATTAGGGTTTGAAATTAGGTATTATGAAATTTAATAAAGTACTTAATTTATCCTCACCACTACTTAATTTTATAGATTTAATTATAGATAATGAGACCCATATTTGAAATCAATCTCATTTCTTTGATATGTATTTTATGTATTTTTTCCAAGTAAACTCTGTTATCCGAAGACTATTGTTTCAATAAACTAGCTGATATCTGAATGAGTCTATACATCTTTTCTATAATTTTTCATGACAAATTTAAGTTCCAAATATGCCATTAACACAATGGATTGCACAACCAATAGGATCCATCCAATGGAGACAAGGAATATAAATAGTGTCACAGCAAGTTGGTTGGTTTAGCACCCAAAGCTCTTGACACGGTTGGACACTAACAACCAAAATTTATGCCCTCCATCCTCATTCTAAGGTTGTCCCTCTTGATGCCTTAGTTTCACTCAATTGATTCCCAATATTGATTTAGGTTTATATGCTCATTGCTCATATTCTTAGCTTATAGTAGAACATTACTCATCAGCACAAAAGCAGACATGACTTCAAAATGAAAGGTACCTGCAAATGCAGAGAGATTTCATTTTGGTTGTTCAATACAGTTTATTAAAATTATAAGTATGATGAGATTGAGTAATAGAAAGATATTTATAAAAAAACGTTTACAATGTCCAATCCAATGAAAGGTACTTATTATGAGAATTTTAATCTCACCTTGGATGAATTAACCTATACTTTTGTTTTTCAACTAAACGGGATTTATGTGAGACTCACTAAATTGTTAATCAATTCCATTCTCTAAGAGAGTTATCAAACATGGCCTAACTATGTATCTCACTTAAGAGAGTTTTGAATCATATGTCTAAATATAACGATTGACAGAATGTATTAAGATAAAAGGACTTAAATGAATTTAAAGACAAAAAATTCTTGGTCATATTTAAAAGACCTCTTTTACCTTCTCTACTATATTTGAGAGTTAAATTGATACCAAAATGTTATACGTTGCAAAAGTATTTGTGATTGCACAAACAAATAAGGTGTAGTAGGGGAAAAAAAATATCAGGTGGTCTAGGGCACCATTAGGTCCTTGACCTCTACCAATCATCAAATGATAAGTCTCACAGTTATTTCGTTATACCTAATAAAAATTTATGAGTTCTACGCTCTCCGTCAATGACAACATCTGACAAGATACATGTTAATTGTTTTAGAGAAGTAGTGGTTAGGATAAATTAAATTAGGGTTTTAAAAGTAATTTTTTTTAATTAAGAATAAAATTATGCGAATTGAAATTCATATAATTGAGAATTGTTAATGTCATATTATGAAATTCATGAATTGAGAATTAAGGTGGACTGACAATTTCAATTCGAGGTCCACATGGTTACATATATATGATATACCATGAAGTTACAAAGGTTGTACCTGTGAACCAACCCCCTAAAGCAAAATAGGCACAAGGAAAGAGCAATAAACCGGACCAGCCTACAAAAACGAAACGGTCCCTACGTAACCAGTCATCCATAATATCAAATAAATCATTTTCGTCTTTGGTAAATTTACCAAGGGCTATAGTCATAGTAATCCTCCTATTCAACTACTTCGACCATTTCCGAACACCTCATAACATTTTCAGGGCGTTTGAAGATTCGATCATTTATGTATGATTTCATTTCTCGCGCATTGCCCCTTCTAATGGGTTTCGAAGATCAAAATCCTTTATTGGTCTATAACCCTAACCTAGGTAAATCCACGAACTCAATTCGATTATTCCTTCTTATTCTTACTAAGCCTAAGTATCTGAACTATGAATTGTGTTCTTATAACGTATCAATCAGATAGATAAATTTTTTGAAAGAACTGTTCAAGGAATAAGAATAAGTGGCTGCCTCTCTCGCTACCACACTATAGGAAATGTTTGGTTTA